TGAAGGTGCACTCATAAGAAAATATGTGAAATAAGATATCTCTCACCTTTATACTTTTTATTTATAAATAAAAGATACAATATGTGATGTCTTTTAATTGTTTCTTACAAGATTATAACTTGATAACTTAATCATCATGTGATTGCTCTTCATAAGATGTTCATAAATAATTGATTGTTTTCAGATTTATAATATCATTTTCCATAAACCACCAACTCTATCTATTACAAAAAGATACATTTTTGCTTCTTCATGTTGTAAAGCTCAACATTTCTACCAACTACACAATTCAAGCTATGATAATGTTTTTTTTTAACTTTAATTATGGTGGATCTTTGATTATTATTAATCTACTATAATCAAATCTTTTTGATAGTAATCATCCACAAATTAAAATTTAATCCTATTTATTTTAATATTTATATGCAAATTCTATTCTTAAATATATAATTATAAATTAAAACCAAGAAATAGAAAAATCTCTCTTGTAATAAAAAAATAATATTCTTAAAATGTAGAAGTAGATATGAATGAAAATAGAAATTTAATAATATCAATTTAAGATAGAATTTTAATTTTACAAATTCTATTGAAATAAATACATAATTTATTTGATAAATTGATTGGTAGTCATAAATAAGATAATATCAAATAGTATTAAATTTACTTTGAAATAAATCAAATAAGAACTAGAAAAAAAACCATTAACAATCACTTTAAAAAAGCTATTTTAGAAGATCGAAATTAATTCAAAAATAAAATAAATTTACTATTTTATTTAAATATAAATAATGATTAAAAAATCCTATAAAATAGATATTAAATAACTTTGATATGTAAAATATATATATATATATATATATATTAAAATTATTTGAGAAATTTTAATATTTTAGGCCTTTTAAAATACTCTTAAAAGAAATATTGAAGAAATTTGATCTAAAATGTGATATTGTTAGAAATTCATATTAAAATCGAAGTGTATTTAAAAAAATTTGTATTTTGAAGTACTTAATGTTTTTCAAAAATTTTAAAGTATTTTATTTTTTAAAACTCAAATTTCTAAAATTCTTATAAAGCTTATACATGTATTTTTAATTTAATTTAAAAAAATACACATTCATATAATTAAATCAAGTTATTAAGAAAAAATAGGCTAATTAAATATTTTAAATTTTAAATCTCATAGATGTAATTATTTTAATATAAAAAATATAAATATAAATATAAATATATTATAAATTATGATATTTATATCTTTAATTTTTTTAATATTAAAATTTTTAATATATATATATATATATATCATCACTATATTTAGAATTAATTGATAAAAATAATAATAATATTAAAAAATATAAATATATATAATTAATTATATAATAAAATCCATATTTATAATTATAAAATAAAAATATATAATTAATTTTAATATTCATAATCATTGAATCATTATGTATCTTACTTTATATTTGATAAGATGATTTTTAACATGGTTATTTGTATCAAAATGGACTTTAAGAATAGCAATTGATTACATAAGTCTACCATTGTCATGTTGTAATATAACTATTAAATGAAAGAGAAATATATCTATATATATATATATATATAAGGACTTAATGAAAAATATTGTAGCAAATCATCTTAGAAGTATAGATAGTAGTCAAGGAGGTAATAAAATTTGTAAGTGCTAATACTGCCTTCTTACAAAATGAGCTTCTACTTACTTTGTACGAAGATAAATGAGGCAATACAAAATAAATAAGAAAAATAAATAATATAAGCATCATTAAAAAAAAATTACGAATAATTTATAGCAAAATTATCTCAAGTAATTAAGAATTAATGCTTGGAATAGACCAGTTGTGAATGTAAGTTGCAATTAGACTCCAAAGCATGAAACCATGCATCTATGGTAGTTTTAGGATTTTTTGGTTGATTAAAGAGTAGGATATAAGAAAAACGAAGAGAGAGGTTTTTTAGATATTAGTTTTGAGTGCTTTGAGTTTGTAATGACTTTGTAAAGGCTTTGCAAAGTCAAGGTTGTTTTGGAGTAACTTTGGATTTTTAAGAAATATAAAGAATTTATACTTAGAATTATTTTGTAAAACTAATAGATGATTTTTGGATGAAATATTATAATTAAATGATATTTTTTATATTAAATATATGTTATTAATTTGAGCATGATTAAATGGTTTATTTAAAGGTCATTGAAATTCAAAAGTATTGACATCTAGAAAATTAGAATTTAAAAGTTTGATGAGGATTTCTAAGATTTGCAGCAGTGTATTGGTTATATTAAAATAAATATTTTATACTATTATTAGAATTATTTAAAAATAATTATATAATTTTTGAAAGAAATTAGAAAATAATTTCAAGAGATATTGATATTAAGAAATCAAAATCAAGATTGGAGAAGAAGATCAAAGAATATTCAAGCAAATTATAAGGTATATCTTTTATTTGGTATGTTGGATATTTTTTTAAATTGTTATGATTTTTTTTACTGATAGATTAAAAGGTTTAATTTTTTTGAATTAAAATTAACGATTAAATTATTAATTATTAAGGTTTATTTTTTTTTAAGATTTAGTAAGGATATTATTAAGATTTTGGTTGGATTCGATTACGGCTTGATTAGGATTAGAAATTTGACTAAGATGTAGCATTTAGAATTTGGCTAGGATTTTTTTAGAATTTAGAATTTAGAATTTGATTAGAAACTAATTAGTATTTATTTAAGATTTGATTAGGATTTATTTTAGGTTTATTTATATTTTTTATTTTTAATTACCTTTAAAATTTTTATTTTTGATATTTTATAAGAATTTATTGATTATTTCTTTATGGTTTTTTTTAAGTTCTTTATGATTTCTTTAAAAAAAATATGATTTTTTTATATTTTTTTTATAATTTCTTTAAGACTTTATTTGAATTTGATTAAAATTTGATTAGCATTGTTAAGATTTGATTGGAATTAATTTAGGATTCTATTAAAGTTGTTAAGACCTTGTTGTTGCAATTTCCAATTTTCCACAACCAAGTATCCAATGCATTTTCAAGAAAAACTTCATATAATACAACCACATGTTGGTTTTTTTGTTTTTAAAAAATAAATAAATAAATAAATAAATAAAAGGCAAGATAATCACGGTCTTAATGTGAAAAATAGAGAGAGATGTGGTTTTGAAAAGTTGGTGAATAATACATGGATTTTTGTATACAAGTAGAATTTTCATTAGAACCTCTTTCCAAGAAATTTGTTTTAAGTTTTTTCTTCAATCAGGGTAAGATTACACTAAACAAGCAAATCAAAAGATTGAATAGGTAGTAGCAAAGATTAAGTAGTGGCTTGAGAATATTTTGAGTTTTGAGTAGGAAATAAGTAGTGGATCTTGTGTTGTTTAAAAGTTCCAATACACATGATTCTAGTTGTAGTATAGATGTTTGGTTAGTTTGGTATCAAATGCATATATTGCATAAGTTGAATATTATAATTTGAATATCAAGAATTGTTATAGAACTGCCTTTTCCTAATATAAACATTGCTAGTTTTCTTTAGAATATTAATAGCATATTGTGTGAGTATCAAATAGATAGAATTTGCCATCAATCATAAGTAGATTCATTATTGAAGGGCATTGGATTTCTTTTGATGAGTCTATTGGATATTATAAATTTTAATGTGGAATTTTTGAAGGTAGAAGCTGCTTAATGTTAACTTTTTCAAAAAAATTAGAATCATCAAAATAAGAACTAAGAAGAATTTGTGGCAACAAATCAAGTGATAAGTATTGCATTGCACTGATAAGTAATAAGCATTGCACTGTGTGAAGAATCTAGATCACATAGTTTTGGAGGAGCAATTATTGGAATTCAACTATCAGATTGCCATGAATATTTGTATTGCTAAAGTTACATAAATAATAATTCCAACAAGCTAAGATTCATTGAAATAGGAGTGTTAGGATGAGTGGAGTGGATTATTGGAGTAGAATAAAAGAAAGCCCTTAACTTCAAGCAAATAGATTGTAGTAAGTAAAGAAATGAGAAAAGAATTGGATTTTTTTTTTTTAATTTATATATATGAGTTTTTAAGATAATATAGTTGTGGTTGTGATTTTTTTATTTTTTATTTAAATTTTTGTTATATATTTAATTATTATGATTTTGTAAATAAATCATTGAAGTTGAGTTAAAAAGGTTTTTGAATTGTTGAGAGATAGGATTTGTTATTATTTGTAGGATTAGTTTTTATTTGATAGTACTTATTAGAGTTAGGATGTGAGTTTAAAATGGCTGTCTTAAAAAATTTTAGAAATGTTTAGAGATTAAATTTTCTATTTCTGGATTTATATATCAAATATTTAGGATTAAATATAGAAGATATTTTGAAAGAATGTCAAGCCTATGTTGTAGCATTGAAGGTTTTATTGGAAAAAGAAGACATTGAACAAAAATCAATGCACAATCTTGTATAAGAATATTTAATATGTTATGAAGATATATAACTATTTCATGACTTGAAGCAATGGCAGATTGAAATATGAAGTAATATTGAATGAATTATTTATTACACTAAATAAAACTTATTTATTAGTGAAGAATTGTAGAAAAAAAAAAAAAAAAAAAAAAAAAAAATGGTGTAAAGCAATAGTAATTCAATTGAAAAAATAACTTTTAGAGATCTACTTGTAGACTTAAAGTGATTGACTTTAGAATATTTTATATAAATAACAAGTTGAGTGAAATGAGAAATGCATATTTTTCATCACTTTAGTTGTAAACTTAGAATGATGGTGATTTTACATAAAGAAATGAATTTAGAAGATTATGCACATTTTTGAAGTTAACAAGACATTTAGTCAACTTAAGATATATTATAAACCTATCTTGTAAAGTTGTTATTCATGAAGAAGTATTTGATAAAGCATGTCACATGCTAAAAAAAAAAAAGATGGAAAGAAATATCAAGGTGGTCAAGATTGATATCATTGCCAAATGAATTGGGCTTCTCATCTTTGACTATCATTGATATATTGTGGTGCAAAAGCTTGGCATCATTGCCAAATAAATTGGACATCACACCATTTATTACATTATCTCCATAGGCTAGCCATATCTAAAAGCTATTTAAGAAATCACAACCCTCAAAGAAATATTTTAATTACTAAAAAGCCTCTTTGGGTCATAAAACTACACCAAAGCAGATCATTGCTGCATAATCAGAGTTAATTCCTATTGGGTTCAGTTGGATGCAAGAATCATCCCACAACCGCCATAATTCCCATATCTTCAATATTGCCATAGCTTTGCAATGTCTTTACAATCCTCTACTGTGGGGGGAATGTTACGTTCAGAATGTCCATGAGGCAATTTGTTCATGCTTTGTTCTGTGATCTGGATCTTTGCTGAATGAGGTTCCAAAATTGGGATGTATATCATTACTTGTAGTCACTGGCACAGCTTCAAGAGCAGGACATAGTTTAGGATTTTAGAGAAGGTACTCCATTCAGTAGACGCTGCATCCACTTGCAAGGGCTCTACTTTACTCATGCGATAGCCTTGACCCAATTTCCAGTACTTGCACTGGTACCTTCAGGAATACGTCTTATCACGTCTTATCAGAGACAATCCAATCATTTTATAAGGCCGCGGCTTTAGCTTCCTCAGATAACGCAACCACAATTTGATCAGGAGTAGCCTTCATTTCTTTTTTGTCCAATCCTGGGAAAACACCGATGGTTGAAAGTTGGAACTCCGATTCATTTGTTTGGGCTCCCTCACGATGGACTCGAGCATCGGCTTCTGCTTGAATGTCACTAACTGAACCTGAACCTGCCAAGACATCTTTCATTTATCAACTCAAATTCCAGTAAATCTCACATCGACGAAGCGATGATGCCAAGATGCAAGGCAAAAATTTCAGTCCCAACCTATAGTGACATCAGACTACTACCATGCGGCGGAATGAATATCAAAAAAAAGTATAACATTATCGAGGTGCAACGGTACTCAAAATACCAAATCAAGAGAGGAATAATACCAATTTCAATACTGGCAGTATAAACTTCTTTTGAAGGCAGTTTCGAACCGTCCTCAGTCCTCTCGATATCATCCACTGGAGCACTTTCCTCTTTGTGGATATCAAACTCGGAAGGTCTTCTGGATACTATGACATAATCTGTTTCTGGATCATATTCTGAATCTGCACCACCTACCTCCAACCAGTGTTTGATAATATGGAAGAAGTGTTCATCCAGAAGGATGCCCCGATGGTCAGCAGGTATTCCCACTCTTGCCTTGGCATTTAAACCATCAGCCTGAACACACGCGTAATAGCAATACAATCAATCCTAGAAAACAGAAAAAAAAAAAAAAAAAAAAAAAGTACGCGTACGAAGTGTGAAAGAACTATTTATGTGAAAGTTGTATTGTCCACGAGTTCATGGTACGCATGATGTAGAATATGAACTATACAGTTCATGAATATTCTCATCAGGAGGTTAATTATATTAAGCTGAACTACTTCGCAGAGCCTCCCCTAATAGAAGACTCAACAAAAACAATCAACGCAGGTCAACTGCAACATAAGAATATCACCCGTATTGTAGACAGTCACTTTTGATGTGGTGAACAAACATTTGCGCTAAAAAGCTTCCAACAACACTACAAATGAATTACCATTGCAGATTCCACTGGAACAGTACCGTCCCCATCAACGTATGCGAATTCAGCCTGTTTATCAGCAGTTCATGTTTACATCAAGCAGTGCTGGATTACAAAAGATCAATGCAGCATAAGGAAGTCATGTCTGAGCATTGACGTAAGACACCGCAATCTGATATTGCAGCTTGTACTATGCGTAAGATCAATGAATTACAGAGAGTACGTTTCTTCCATAAAACTTTTGTCCCTCATACTACTTCTTCCTAGATGTTGACCAAAAGTGGACCAATAAAAGTAGTACAAACTTATGAAAATAAAAAATGATCAGATGAAAATTATGAGGAATGTACCTCTGAATTCAAAATTTCAGTTAATTCTTGCAGAGGCGATTTGTCGGTACCGTAGCTGAAAGAGTAAGAATAAATCGCTCGTCAGAGTCCAATTGAGAGGATAACACATACACAGAATGATATTTGAATAGAGCATATGTGAAGGCACAACTTTTGACAGACGTCAGAGTTCACTTGATTCAATATAAAGAAGGATACAAAACTAACGAGACATGATGGGGGGTGTCATGTGATGTGCCGTAGAGATTGTAAAACTTTACGCCCTCAGGCAGCTTCGCTTTGTGCATTATCCTCTGAGTCTCTTGGGCCCACTTGACAATAACCTTATTTAAGGGCAGAGGTATCTTGGTTCCATTGAAGTTCAACTGAAAGAATGTTCGTTACATATGTGCATTACCAACCAGGGCCGAGGCACACAATCAAGTGTAACAACACTCAGTTAGAGCCAAAAACCCGATCAAAAATCCTTTTCAAAATCAATCAGAGTGGCATTCTTACCTTGTTCTCTTCCAGTGCAGCCATCATGACATCTAGGTTATCACTGGGCCCAAACGCTTCCAATTTAACTTTCTCCTCGCCATCCTGATCAGCTATTTTCCGCCACAACCGCAGTTCAGGAGGTTCACTCCAATCGAAGTCGGGAGAAGCTAGCAGCTCATACACCGACGGGCACTCTATCAACTGCACAAATACGCATGCAACCTCCAAATGAGCATACAATGACCAAACATAAGAACCCAAGCAAAAAACTCTACTGCCAAAACCTTTGCAGTAGATTGAAATTCGTCGAAAGTGCATTCACCACTGTGACATAGCTGTGAGAAAATCCACAACAATGTGAAGGTACATACAAGCTGATGCATACTCCACTTTGCAACAAAAAGCTCTCGTTGCCAACCCTTCACAAAATCCACACCAGTCAGCAGACAGTCCATGATAAAACCGGGAGCACCTGAAGAACAAACAATGTCACAATGTGAGGATAATGATATGAAAATAAAACTAAACTGCTACAGTATTGTAGGGTAACAGTTGGTACTGTAGAAGTGATCGACGTACATATGCTACAGGAATCGAGCAAGAAGACATTCAGGTCCTCGCTTAGACTTGTTCAAGATCATACAGACGGGTGAAAGGACGAGATTAGAAAAAGGAGCAAGCAGAGTTGTTGCCTAACACAGCTTAACATCATGAACTTTTTCTCTTTATGAATAGTGCAATTGGAACTTTCCTTCATCCCACTAAAATAAAATGACAGAGAAGGAAAACACAAAACAATCTTCAAAAATACAGACGAGGACACAGGATTCCCCACCTTCGAAGGGTGCGGTAATAGCAATCCATGAGTTAGCATACTTCTGAAACACCTGCATTCGACAACCAACTAGACATTAGCAGCTGAACCGGAGAGTACACAGACGAAGTGATCACCTGATGTCCTACCCAACTTCAAGACTAGTGTACGCTGGTCTGATCATTTGGTCACAATGTACCTGAGGATGGAGAGCCAGAAAACATTTCACAAGGAGACCACCCATGGAATGTGTAATTATGTCAACTTTCCTCCCACGAGATGCCTCACACATACTCTCCAGCTTCAGCTTCATCCGATCCATAGCCTCTCCAAGCCTGCATTGAGCATTAAATTCAAGACGTCAGTATTGAACATCCTGTTTGGTTTATCGGTTTGAAATGTATGTATAAGTAAATTGATATGCCTTCCTTGTCATGTGAATGAATCGATTGAAAGAGAGCGAGCGCGAAGGGTAGGCAGAACTGCATGTGAGTCGGGATGAGATACATGTAGCACAGAGGGAAAAAAGCCATCAAACACAAACCAGCAAAAGAGTTGCTATGCTTCTTGCAAACCACATAATCTGCTTTATTGACACTCAAGAAGACGATTTCGCACATTGGATGACGACAAGGGGTGAGACAGTTTCGTGTCACCAAAAACACTAATGAGAAGATAATATTCTCATACGAACCTATTGCTTTGGCGGAAATCGTATCCAAATCCAAATAACGTTTTACCCTCTTTGTAACCCCAATTTGTAAGTTGTTCGATCAAATCGTGGAAGTAGTAAACAGTATCCAGACGCATGATCTGTCACCATGTAAGATTACCCTGATTGGATTTTCCTGAACAATCTAGGTAAGACAATCTGAAGCATCAAGAGTAAACCTCGAAAGATCAAACAATTAAAAAATTTAAGGAGCTGACATGTACATACCACATCAGGATCGAGAATGTCACAGCTATACAATCCAAAACGTTCCTCTGGAACTTCTATTGTTATGTCCTTATTCAGGGAATGAGTCTTTCCTGTGGAAAATTGAAGGGATAAAATGCAGTCAGAATGTCACAACAATTCACAATCACCAAGGCCCCCGGACAATCCCACAGAATCCACTCCACAAGAGTTCGAATTACAATACCATACCTGTGACAGGATCGTAAGAGGAGAAGAGTTTAAAGCGAAATTCATGATCGGCCTCGAACAAGCGAACCCAGACACGCTCCTTGTGGCCCTTGTGGTCCACTGCAGTAAGAATGGACCCTCCGATCCCCGGCACCAACAATACCGGGTTCGGAACCGAGGCGACATCGTCGTCTTCATCGCCCTTACGGTGCCATCGCCACGAGTGCTCGGCCTTCCCCACCATCTTTCGCGACATTTATTTTTTTTATTTTTGGTGTTTACTTGTTGGCTCCTCTACGACACGGTTTTTCGCCAATCAAAGCTCACCGTGACGTTTTTCTGCAGCATCTTCGTCACAACTTCTACAAGATTTTCCACCGACAGAAAGGGACGATCAGGAAGTCATGAAAACCATGGAATCGGCAATTAGGGTTTCGAGCAAAGGAGTGCAGGAGATGGACGGATGGATAGATGGATGGATGACTTATCGAAGGGAAAGGCACCTGTTCGTCCATTCAGAACCCATCATACGTGGGCTGGTGGTTGTGACGTGTTTTCCTTGCGTGTTAAAATTTGTTAAAAAATTTGTTAGTTTTTTATTTTTATTTTTTCTCTCTCTAAAATCTCGAAATCTCGAAAATCCAAAATCTCGAAATATTAAATAAATAAATAAATAAAATGCATGCAATTTGTTCATTAAGTTAAAAGGCTTTGGATATATATATATATATATAGAGAGAGAGAGAGAGAGAGAGAGGTGGATCATGAAACTATATAGATGCGTGTGTGTGTGAAAGTTATACAAGTTTCATTAGAATATAGTTTAACAAAATATGAACAAAGAAAAATTATCCATGTGATATTATATATATATATATATATATACACACACAAATATAAAAATTTAAAAATGTTAATTATTTTTTATTTATTTTGGCAGACAAAATTTTATTGTAATATAATTTTCAAATTGCATAAAAGAATTGATTTTATTTGAATTTAAGTTCTACAATAAGACACAATGTTTGTTTTAAATTATTTGAATATAAATCTCAAACATATTAGAATAACTAGTTTTTTACCAACTAATTAACCTCTATATAGTGAATGTACAAAATTTATCTTTATTTTTTTAACTTATTAATTAATTAAAAGTTGACTTTAGTCGTATATTTTTTTTGTCTTTGGTTTTTTTTTTCCTATATTTTAAAAAGATCAAAACTAATAGTTATAATCCAAATTATTAATATATATTTTAAAATTAAAATAAAAAATATATCTAGCTTGATTGAAGTTGCCATTGATTTTTTTTTTTTTTTCCACAGAAAATATTAAATTGTTAAGTTAGAAGTGTATCAATGAATGTAATTGTAAGTCAATAAATGCATTAATGTAAGTAAAACAATTTTACATGAATTAAGAATTTTTACTTGCTTTTTTTGGTGTTTTAATAGATGTTTTTTCTCAGAAATATTTTCTGAAAAATACAAGTAATTTAGAAAAAAATTTGTGGGATTATTTGTATAAAAGTTGAGGTGTAGATGCATTTAAGAAAATATGCGGCGTTGAAATTATTGCTAAAAAATAAATAATAAGAATTGAGGTGGAAATGTATAAAGAGTATTTTTTTAAAGAAGTATTGTATTTAAATGTGGTCACAAATTTGCTATAATTTATTCTATTTTAATACCAACAAAATTAGTGGATTTTTTTTGAATAAATTAAGACTTGTCAGATATTTTTAACCATGATACCCAAAAAACACACATTATCAAATCTTTTGTACTTTACAATCAACTGGATCAAGAATCTTAGTAATACAAATATTTTTATTGCTCTTGCAAAATTCTGCAATTTGAACATCAAAAGATCTATTCCCATTGTCAAAAGACATGTGGGGTGAAAAACAACTTGGTTTCATGTAATACATGTGGGGTAGTGCAAAGGAATCCTCACTTCATAGTCATTGAAAGCCTATAGTCCCTACTCCAGCAACAAGCCAACACAACAGTCATTGTGTGGGAATATGACAATGAAGCCTCATCATACTCAGTTGACTGGAACCTCATCTCATTATATGGAGATGATGAGCAAGCACTTGAAGACTATGAATATGGATATGATCTCTCTGAGTAATATGAATACAGCCTACTGGCAGCGGATCCTTTGTTATCAATGGCTTCTATTCATATCTAGAAACACATGGAGTTTTGTGTTCTAAACCTGGCAGGGCTGTCCATGCAAATGTGCTACCAAATCCATCAATCACCAAATGAGTTGCAAGTTTGCTGCATCATTCTGTTGAATATCACCCCTGTGATCATGGTTCTAAAGCAATTAGGTAGGCAGGTCTGTGGGTGAAAGACAAAAAAAAGAAAAAAAGAAAAATACAACCATCATAGTTTTATTATGCAAGCAATGAGGCTAATATTACATGTGTGGCATTGCATGGAGGTGTGCCTTAGAAGTCTAGGAATATTGGTTCTGCTGATCAGAGTCTGGCTGGACGTATAACTGACAATGCTCCAGTGTTTCAGCTCATGATCATATTGCCTTGTTTTCTTTGAGTGGTAATGTTCTGATGTAGAAAACTGCACTGGGAGATAACCGACCCGAAATTCAAGGCATGCACTAAACGGAGACTAGGTTTCGGCAGTGATAAGTTGCACTATCTAGCTAAAAAAACGTATCAATCGAATGGTGACTGAACTCCTGTTTTTGATGCCGTTTTCATCACAAACATACAGTGATGGGCATCTACAGTGCAATCAAGTGACATGCAGGACAACAAAAGAAGTTGGGTTTAAAAAGAATCAACAATCTCCTCACACTTGTTCTATTAGGACTTGTTCGGAGAGTGTGCACAATTTGTCATCGGACAGAGACTCAACGTGATCGAATCAAGCGATGCATGCTACCATCATCACCAGATTCTGCCAAAGCTTTCTCTCTGTTTTGCGTTTTTTTCTTTTGTGTCTAGTTCCTGAGTCTCCTGAACATTATGAACTATGTCGAGGTCCATGCAGAAGCGGTGAAGAGACAGAGATCTTCCCATCCGAGCTTGAGAGCGCCGAGGTCTTCCAGCAACGTGTAACCCTCGCCAGGATAGAACCCCTGAGATAGCAGTAATGCCGCCTGGTGGACTGCTTGGGCACTGAGGGCAACGGGATTGAAGCCGGCTTCGCTGAGCTTGTCCCGCCAATGATCGAACTTCGTTGTGCCCGATCGACCGGGACCTCCAATGGCAAGTATATTCTTGATCTCACACGACAGCAGTTGTTGCTCTACCATGTGACGCTTCAAGCTTTTCCTGTTGTAACTCGCCCCCAAAGAATCGAACAAAGCGGAGTAGTAGTGAAGTGCTTCAACGAACCGGTTAAGAAACGGGCCTCCGTGGCGGAGGTCTTGCTCCACAATGGTGATAATCTTGGGTGAGAGCTTATGCATCAATCCCAGTGTGGCAGAGTCACAACCCGAGACATCGTATAATGAGTGATGCATCCAGTGGACTGCAAGCGCGTCTGAGAATTCTACTTTCAGCGCGGAGGGATCGAGCTTGCCGAACTTTTCAGCGACGGCTGTGAACTGGAAAGAAACTCCCAAGGTTGCTGCGAAATCGATTAGTCGCTTACCAGTCGCATCGAGGGTCTCCACCGAGGTTCCCAGGCCAGTGATATGAACGTGAGGAGGACCTCCAGGTCTCTTGGCCAAGTTTTGGAGCAAAAGGTGCCATTGTAAACCATGCATGATATCCATGTCGATGACGTGCACGTTGTTCATTCCCTCGAAGGCCTCAGAGATAGCCTGAATAGCAGTAAAATGCGAAAACTTTACAAAAGGGCAGATCTCGTTGAAAACCTGAATTGCAGAGGTGAAGCTGGGGTTGTTAACCAGGTCATTTCTGGGGAGCGGAGAGTTGATTCCCAGACAGGATGTAACCAAGCGAGATGCCATGCCTTCGGCAAAATATGCGACTACCCTTTGCACAGAGCTCCCATACGGCGTTACCTGTTCACGCAACTGCGGCAGAATCGTATTGGCCTCGTCGTGGTTGCCTGAGGAAACTGCTTCAGCGCACTGCAAGAGAAGCGCCAAAAGCTGCAGCCCCTCCTGACTGGTCGACGGTTCATGCGATTGCCGTTTCTGCGATGAGGTCTGTGGCACATCAAGTGGCAAGGATGGTAGGCCTTGGCAGTCTCTCGCGTTCTGGGCTGAGCACTGCGAAACACTTGACCGCACATCAAAGTCGAGGATAGTGTTTCCAAGTTTAGGTTTCTGATGGTAATGCGGTTGGATTTGAGGATATTGCTTGAGATGTGACGGTCCCGGCGAGTCTCTGGATGTGACACCCTGATGGCCGAACTTTGAGAGTGAAGGCTGTCGTGTAGTATGCAAATGTCGAAGGCTGCGTTCATCCGCTGGTTCAAGTGACAGCTGCAGATTGTCGTCGGTTCGTTTCTGAGAACTTGAGAAAGGAAGCTGTTGGTCTTCTCGCAGTTCTGGAGATGGATGAGACACCGCAGCCTGTATCTGCATGACATTCTCTTGCCTGTCATGAAGACCAGAGATTGCGTTTTTAAATGTCTGGCTTGTATTTTGAGACGAATTCGCATTTTCCCGATAAACTTGTCCTTTCGCGCCATCGTTGTATTCGACTCTCGGTCTTTTCCCAGCTCTTGCCAAGTCGATGGGCAGAGTGTTCTGGACTCGTCCTCTAGCACTCGCATACAGCGGATGCAAGCGGGATCTGATGACTCTTTCTGCATTTACATAGCCTGGTGCTAGAGCCTCTGAGAGATTCGCAAACAAGTGTTCGATGGGCATTCCAGGCATAACTTCCATCATCCCTCTAATCATCCCATCGACCCATTGCGACACAGCATCCTCATCCAATCCTGCGAACTGGTCCTTGACATTCTCACTTGCATTGTGAGCGCTGAAACTGTGGGTCCTGTGCTGAGGCATGTCGAATTGCGGCACATGCTGATGTTGATGACTTGGTACCGCATCTGCAATCTTCCCCAAACTATTCCCAGGCTCGGCATTGATTAGAAGAGGCTGGGTCTGGTATAAATGCTGAACGTTGCCACTTCGAGCTTGCGCGAGGCCACTGGAGAAGAAGCCGTCTCTAATACTTGCACTGCCACAGGTTTCCAGTTGAAGACTTTGAGGGAGAGTATTGGTGAAATTGTTAGGAGCGGAAATCCCAGAACTGAGATGATTGGGAAACGTAACATTTGAAGGAAAGGTTACTGTGATATTATCTTCTAAAGGAGGAACCTCCCATCCACTAGAACTTGTTGGAAAGGAATTAGATGCGAAAGTGTAATTTGACCATGAAGAAACTGGGGCAACTGGTGGCAAGGTGGAGTTTGGCCAATTCGAACCAACCGTGAAGTCCAGGTCCACCAAATGATCACTTCCATGATCCAGCGAATCTGCTCTTCTATGAACATCCCAATGAACGCCACAGCTACCGCCTGCGTCGGAGCTGATTTGACCAGAGTTCCGTAAAGTATAATGATCTGTCATACGTAATTGATCTCGATCTTCAGCAGTTACGAGGCTTCTGTAACCTGGTAAGTCAGCATATTGTGTGCATGTTCCAGTAATGACTCCCGGTAATAGCTCTGTTGACACGGAGCGCAGCCTCTTGCTGGGGTTTGGACACACTATAGCCATGCTCCTCACTATCTGAAAGATACTGACATCTCTAAATAAAGAATCTCTTCTTTGTAGCTTTCTGTTTCCAAATTTTGCAACTTGGAAGACTAGATAGCACTACTCCTTGGTCAACTTCTGTATTCAATTCATCAGGTATGTACTGTTACCTTCCAAGCTTATTTTACAACCAAGAAATTTGCCATCGATCTGCTCTCTGGTTGATTGAGCTTGGAATGCTTAGATACTGCTTTAACCTGTGCTTCTGGAACGAGGGGTTGTAAGGAACGACTCTCAGTCGATCGACCGGCTACCAGCACTCATTGTTTCGTTGGACTATCCTTCTACCTACACAACAGCAGGCCAAAAACAAACGCGTGGGAAGGTATCAAAAAAACCGTCGACAAAAAAAGCGTTCAAGCGACGTCAGCTTTGTACAAACATCACCTATCTGATTGTCACATCTTTCACTGAATGCAAAGACTAAGTAAATGGCGAAAAAGTAGACTAAATCATGGAACTTGAAGCTCTAATCACCCCATTATAAGACATCAATATATGTGTATATAAATGAAGTACGATAATCAGGGTGCAACATGATCACTTGTCCCTATCCGCCTCCCCTAAGTAAGCTTCAGAGTCGATCGATCAGCGAATTCTCAGTTGTGAGTAGATCATCAAAACCAAAACATCGTTCACCTCCTCCTGAGACCAGCGGGCCAGGGAGTGGACTCGTGATCTTGTGATCTGTTACTAGTTGCAACCTGTGACATCCTTTCACGACCATGTAAGGAGTGTTGATAAAACAGAAAATCCTAGCGCGATACCTTGTACAGAACGTCGTCCTCGGCAGATTCCGATTGAGCGCCTTTCTCTCAGTCACCGCGTAACCTGGTCTGGCTCCGAACATCCATGTACTTTGCCAAAATATTCCTCAATATGGCCTCTTCGCAGGTTTACTAACTGTCCGCCTAAGAACAACAAAGCTTCCTCTCTCTACAGATACTGAACTTGAAAAGATCGATGACGATGGTCTCCGACACACTGCAGTAACTTGCAACCGTAAACTTTCGCTGCACTCCTTCTCCTCCTCCTCCTCTTATGTTCCCATAAATTCCGGAGAACACCACGACAGGTCCAGAAACGCACTACAAAAAGTCGCGGCAACAGTATCGACAGGCTTCAGCAGCAGACAGAGGGTACATGCAGTAGAACTATTGCAGCCAAGTTCCAACGCGGCGTCGACCAGTGGTCCGGAATGATAGCCTAGCTCCGTCATGCTGTTCTCTAGACGAAGCCTGGTAAGAGACAGATTCTGGCCGAGGGAGATGGTTAGCGCGTAAGCCTCACGTCACGATATTCGCAGCATATCACTTTTAGGGGGTCATCTGGTTCCGATTATTTGCACGTAATCGTTGTTCCTATCGCCATATTCCACTTGTATGTTTCCGCCGAAGGTTCTGAGACATTGTGCAATCCTTGAAACGTGCCCTGCAGGAGCATGCTGGTCCTTGCTGCAAGGGCTCTCTCTCACTCCAGCAGGGCCCGGGCTTGTATTATATTATCGCATCAGTAATGAGGGGAAAAGGAAAGGGAAAAGGGGGATTGGGTGGGGATGGCAGAGGGACCAGGAGGTGAGTTCAGCTGGGTACGTCCTGTGAAGGTGGGAAGTAAGGGGACTCTGATTCCCTCACTGCTTTCCTTTCCTTTCCTCTTGTGGAGATACGACAGTAGGGTGCCACACCATGAGACCAGTCTCTCGCTTCCCCTT